GCAGCTTTCCGCTAATAACCAACTGTTAGAAAGGTCAGAAGCCGAGAGATTTGACACTATTATTTCACTATCAGAGCCGATTATACGTGTGTGACTATAAAGTGTAAAGTTAAGCGTGTATGTGTAAATAGCCTTGGCACTAAAATCCAAGACAATTAATAAATAAATAATTAAACAAACAAACAAGGAAACGCTTACTCGATTTCACTCTGAGTTGCCTTATTCGAGCCATGCCGACAAGAAGAGAGTGTTTATTACCAATATACATCGTTTTCTTCTCCTCTTGACCGTTGTACCATCTTCCGGAAAACACTCCTGGGATGTAAACTCTTTGTAACCAGTTCCAGTACATAGTGTTGTTTTTCACCTGTATTAATACAAGATCGTCGGATTAGATATATTTCGTTTGGTTTATACGTTTAGCTGTATGAATAGATGAGAAGTTCGATCTACGCAAACGAGTAAGTATTTTTAAGCCCGTTTTTAGACTATTATTTGTAATTCCCAAAATTATTTCTATTTCCCATTACACCCAGTTCCCTCAAAAATTAATTTTTGTTTATTTATTTCAATGATGTCTGAATGAGTTAGCAGCCACTTTCTAAATCTCCTCCTTTAACCCTGTAACTCCCAGAAGTGATTAACATAGAACTTCTCCCCAAGATATCCATAAATGATTCAGTAAACAGGTAATGAGAATGCTCAAAGTTATCATGTAGAGTTTGAAGACTTGATCTAACACCAAATTCTTGTAACTGATTCTTGTAACTGATTCTTGTAACTGATTCTTGTAACTTCTTGTAGCAGGAGGGGAGAATTAACAAAAGGATCTTGGGAGTTCAAAGGTTGATAGGATGTCAATCTCTTTAAGGCATTATACCACTCTGCTTGGAATCTCTCCTTAGTCTTGAGTCTCAGTCTTGCTCAAAACGTCAGTCCCCATAGCAGAAAGTGCCTTAGCCAATGTCTGAGTTGTCTATAAACAGTTTTATTTTCCGGTTCTTCAGCAGGCCGTCAAAGTAATATTTCCCCTTGTATAATCATATTTGGACCCCACATAGGAATAAAAGCTGTAAGATCAATCAAACACGGAAATTTCAGCAATATATTAATCAAAATCAAATAACGTCTACTCACCCTGCTGAGGCTTGGTAGTCCATCTCTGATTGATTTTGTCATCATGTACCGATGATCATTTCTATTTCCATAGCACACTACCATTAGCAAGAAAACGAAGACCAGGTATGCAACCAATTCTGTGAAGTAACGTGTCAGGTTCTGTTTCTTAGCTTGTTGTCTCCTCATCTTTTCCACATCTGATAATTGCAGTGCCCAAAACTTTTGTTTAGAGTACTCAGTCTTAGCTTGCTGAGGGCTTTCAGAGGCATGTACTTTTGATCTCTTTGCCTTTATCCTTAAAATGGCTGCAATAGTTAGAGCTGTGAAGAACACCTTTACTGGTTCCTTGATTGTTACGTCCTGGGCGAATGAGATAAGCATCGAAGATAGCCACTGCTCGCTGACACTCTTTTCCCAAATTAGACTGTAGAA